ACCTTCTCTGACCAGGCAGAAGAAGGGATCAATGAATTCAAGGTAAGACCCTGAAGCCATCCAGTATGAGTAGACCTGCAGGCCCTCAGACATCCAGTACAAGCACCACAGTGGACTCAGAGGAAGAGAGAACAGGAAACAAGGATATGAAGAAAAATGTTCCAAATATTCATGAATTTGCCCCCAAAACAGAAACACAAACATGCAAGAAGCTGAATGAGATCAAAGCAGCTAAACCTGAAGTACCCCGGAGACCTGGAGCATCACATACCGGAAACACAGAGCCACAGAGACTTGTCCTCATTGTAGACATAGCACACAGATTCCTTCAACCAATAAGTGCCACCCTGCTGCTGTGTGTCAGGCGCCGTCCTAGGAACTGACAAAGGGGAACTTCAGTCCTAATAAGGCTTATATTCTGGGGACAGAGGCCATAAAACACAGAAATCCATAAAACATTGAGCAGGTGGCACTTGGGGTGCATGGAGAAGCCTGGACACGGGAGGCTGAAGATCTGCATGAGCTGCAGAGCTGGAGGCCAGGGCTGGGAACATTCCACACAGTCTAGCTGGGAAGAGCAGGAGAGAAGCTGCGTGCACTGTGCAGAGGATGTCAGGTGGAATCAGGCACGGGTCCTGAAAAAAAAAAAAAAACCAAACAGAAGTCCTTGAAATGAAAGAAACAATAAATGAAATTAAAAGCTCAATAGAAAGCACCACCAAGAGATTAGATCACTTGGAAGACAGAACCTCAGACAATGAAGACAAAATGTATCTTGAAAAGAATCTTGACCACACAGTGAAAATGGTAGGAAACCATGAGCAAAACATTTCAAGAGTTATGGGATAATATAGAAAGACCAAATTTAAGAATTATTGGAATGGAGGAAAGTACAGAGTTCCAAACCAAAGAAATGAACAATCTATTCAATGAAATAACATCAGAAAAATTTCCAAACATGAAGAATTAATTGGAAAATCAAATATAAGAGGCTTACAGGACACCAAATATATAAAATCACAACAGATCCACACCAAGGCACCTTATAATGAAAATGCTTAGCATACAGAATGAAGAGAGAATTTTAAAAGCCACAAGAGAAAGGAAACAGAATACATGTAGGGAGAAACCAATTAGGATATCTGAAGATTTCTCAACCCAGACCATAAAAGCTAGATGACCCTGGAACAACATATACCAAGCTCTGAAAGAAAATGGAGGCCTACCAAGAATCTTATATCCAGCAAAATTAAGCTTTAGATTTGATGATGAAATAAAAACTTTCCATGATAAACTAAAGTTAAAAGAATTTAACACTAGGAAGCCTGCACTACAGAACATCCTCAGCAAAATATTCCATGAGGAGGAAACAAACCAACAAACAAAAAACAACAATGAAAATCAGCAAAGGGAGGCATCACTAGAGGAAATACTAGTCAAAGGAGAAACCAACTCAAGTTAAATACCAAAAATAAACAAAGATGACCAGGAATGTAAATCATGTCTTAATAATACTCCTGAATGTTACTGGCCTAAACTAACCTATCAAAAGTCATACACTGGCAGATTGGATTTAAAATAAAAAAGTCCCAACAATGTGCTGCCTTCAAGAGACTCATCTCATGGGAAAAGACATCCACAAACTGAAGGTGAAAGGTTGGGAAAAAAAACATGCCACTCACATGACTGCGGAAACAAGCAGGGGTTTCCATCCTCATATCAAATAAAGTACACTTCAAGCCAAAGTCAATCAAAAGGGATAAAGAAGGACACTACATACTGCTCAAAGGAAACAGACATCAACAAGGCATAACAATTATAAATATATATGCCCCAATGGAGCATCTACATTCATCAAAAAACTCTTAAGTTCAAGAGTCAAATAGACCACAGCACAATAATTCAGGGTGACTTTAACACACCTCTTTAACCACTGGATACATCTTCTAAACAAAAGCTAAACAAATAAACTATAGAACTCAATAATGCAATCAATAACTTAGACTTAACAGAGTTATATAGAATATTTTTTCCATCAATGAGTGAATACATTTTCTTCTCAGAAGCACATGGATCCTTTTCTAAAATAGGCCATATATTATGCCACAAAGAAACTCTAAAGAAATAAAAAAAAATAGAAATACTACCCTGCATTCTATCAGATCATAATGGAATGAAATTAGAAATCAATGATAAAATAAAAAATAGAAACTACTCCAACACCTGGAGACTAATTAATATGTTATTGAATGAACAATGGATTGCAAAAGACATCAAAGAGATTAAAAAATTCTTAGAGGTAAATGAGAACACTGATACAACATATTGAAATCTCTGGGACACTATGAAGGCAGTATTAAGAGGAAAGTTCATTTTATGGAGTCCATTCTATAAAAGAAGGAAAAGTCAACAAATAAAGTACCTAACATTACGTCTCAAAGCCCTAGAAAAAGAAGAACAAATCAACACCCAAAGCAGTAGAGGACAGGAAATAATTAAAATCAGAGCTAAAATCAATGAAATTGAAACAAAAGACACAATTGAAAAAATTGACAAAACAAAAAGTTGGTTCTTTCAAGAAATTAATAAAACTGAAAAAACCCTTAGCCATGCTAATGAAGAGAAGGAAAGAGAAAACTCAAATTCCTAACACTTGTGATGAAAAGGGAAATATCGTGATGGATACAACAGAAATACAGAAGATAATTAGAAATTATTTTGAAAATTTGTACTCCAACAAAATAGAAAATACCGAGGCATCAACAAATTTCTAGAGTCACATGATTTTCCCAAACAGAATCAGGATGATATACACAAGTCAAACAGATCAATTTCAAGCAATGAAATAGAAGACGTCATCAGAAGCTACCAACCAAGAAAAGCCCAGAACCAGTTGAGTACACAGCTGAATTGTATAGGACCTTGGAAGAAGAACTAATACCAATACTCCTCAAATTATTTCATGAAAGAGAAAAAAAGAGAACAGGGCTGGGGATGTGGCTCAAGTGGTATTGCGCTCGCCTGGCATGTGTGCAGTCCAGGTTCGATCCTCGGCACCACATACAAAGATGTTGTGTCTGCCGATAACTAAAAAATAAATATTAAAAAATTCTCTCTCTCTCTCTCTCTCTCTCTCTTAAAAAAAATGAAAAAGAAAAAGAGAGAACACTTCCAAACTTATTTTCTGAGGCAAATATCACCCTGATTTCAAAGCCAGACAAAGACACATCAAGGAAAGAAAACTTCAGACCAAATATCTCTAATGAACATAGAAGCAAAAATTCTCAATACAATCCTGGCAAATCAAATACAAAAACATATCAAAAAGATAGTGCACCACCATCAAGTGGGGTTCATCTTGGAATGCAAGGTTGGTTCAACATACGGAAATCAATAAATGTCATTCATCACATCAATAGACTTAAAGATAAGAATCATAGATCATCTCAATAGATGCAGAAAAAGCATTCGACAAAATACAGCACCCCTTCATGTTCAAAACACTAGAAAAACTAGGGATAACAGGAAAATATCTCAACCTTGTAAAAGCTATCTATGCTAAGCCTCAGGCCAACATCATTCTAAATGGAGAAAAATTGAAAGTATTCCCTCTAAAAACTGGAACAAGACAGGGATGCCCTCTTTCATCACTTCTATTTAACATAGTTTTTGAAACTCTAGTCAGAGCAATTAGACAAACAAGATAAATTAAATGGATATGGATAGGGAAAAAAAGAACTCTGTTTATCACTATTTGCCGACAATATGATTCTATACCTAGAAGATCCAAAAAATTCCACTAGGAAACTTCTAGAACTAAAAAATTAATTTTGTAAAGTAGCAAGATATAAAATCAACACCCATAAATCAAAGGCATTTCTGTACATCAGTGACAAATCCTCTGAAAGAGAAACTAGGAAAACTATCCCATTTATAATTCCACAGAAAAATAAAAATACTTGGGAATCAACGAAAGAGGTAAAAACTCTGTAATGAAAACTATAGAATACTAAAGAAATAAAGAAGAACTTAGAAGATGGAAAGATCTCCTTGTTCTTGGATAGGCAGAATTAATATTGTCAAAATGGCTATGCTACCCAAAGCCATTATATATCTATATATCTATATCTACTATACAGATTTAATGCAATTTCAATCAAAATCCCAATGACATCTCATAGAAATAGAAAAAGCAGTCATGAAATTCATCTGGAAAAATAAGAGACCCAGAACAGCTAAAGCAATCCTTAGCAAGAAGAGTGAAGCAGGTGGCATTCTTCACCAGACCTTAAACTATACTACAGAGCAATAGTAATAAAAACACATGGTATTGGCACCAAAATAGACTTGTTGACCAATGGTACAGAATAGAGGACACAGAGACAAACCCACATAAATATGGTTATCTCATATCAGACAAAGGCACCAAAAACATACATTGCAGAAAGGATAGTCTCTTCAACAAATGGTGCTGGGAAAACTAGAACTTCATATGCAATAAAATGAAATTAAGCCGTTATCTCTCATCATGCACAAAACTTAAAGTGGATCAAGGCCTTGAAATTAAACCAGAGAGCCTGGGACTCATAGAAGAAAAAGTAGGCCCAAATCTTCATCATGTTGGATTAGATCCTGACCTCCTTAATAAGACTCCTATAGTGCAAGAAATAAAATCAAGAATCAATAAATGGGATGGATTTAAAGTAAAAAAGCTTCTCCTTAGCAAGAGAAACAATCAGTGAGATATATAGAGAGTCAACA